GCGTGGCGATATAACGCGCGTGGAAATCCAACACGTGGAAAATCAGCGCGTGGCAATATAACGCGAGGGAACTCAACGCATGGAAAATCAGCGCGTGGCGATATAACGCGTGGAAATCCAACACGTGGAAAATCAGCGCGTGGCAATATAACGCGAGGGAACTCAACGCATGGAAAATCAGCGCGTGGCGATATAACGCGTGGAAATCCAACACGTGGAAAATCAGCGCGTGGCAATATAACGCGAGGGAACTCAACGCATGGAAAATCAGCGCGTGGCGATATAACGCGTGGAAATCCAACACGTGGAAAATCAGCGCGTGGCAATATAACGCGAGGGAACTCAACGCATGGAAAATCAACGCGTGGCGATATAACGCGAGGAAATCCATCGCGTGGAAAATCAGTACGTGGCGATATAACGCGAGGTAATCCATCGCGGGGAAAATCAGTGCGTGGCGATATAACGCGAGGAAATCCAACTCGTGGCAATATAACGCGAGGAAATCGGTTGCTAGCTGAAAGATATTTGAATTAACTTAAAATTTATTGAATCGTATTAAAATTGAAGTAGACTTGAAAATTGTTTCGGATGCTTTTAAAAATAGGAATAACGAAATTGAGAGCAGGTAAAATTAGTCGATATCTCGGTGACCCGGTCGAGAGTTAATAAGTTTAACCATGGTTGTAGAACAAAGAACGAATCGATCATCTCTCACCCTCGATACTCGAACGAAGGTCAAGTGTCATGCATGACCTTATTGATTTCGGTTTGGTACATGCCTTTTAGGTAGTGTTACGAGTAGTCCGATATTCGTACCTAACCACAGTAGCTACATTCCGTAATCATTGACCTATCTCAATGAACAGGCTGCTGTGTTGGCCGGAACAGGAGAGACCCATCCATTATTACGTTCGAGAGTTTCCACGATAATTCCAGGGAATTGGTTTGATCTAGAAACTCGACCTCGTTGCTTCTTCGTTGTTCCGCGAGTTTAGTATCGTTCGACCCGTTACAAAATCGTTTTTAAAATATCCAGTATTACACAATTCAACTTTATATCGGTGTACTATAACCGCCATTTTGTACTTTTATGTCGTAAAATTGTAATTGGACGAAATCTAAATTTTACGTATCTCGAAATTGCTGTGACAACCAGACATTTTGTAGTTGATAGATCGATAAAGCGCTGGGTAGTTATTTTCTTTGTGCTCTGAGCTTTAAATTGATATAATACAAGAGCTATTTGGTGATACTTTTATGTCATGATTTCGTGACACAAGGTAGATGTACGTCAGACCCTATTCATCCAAATTAGATATTGATCTAATTGATGTCCAGTCGTTCTATTGTAAAATTATGAATGGTGCACTTACATAGTTATTTTCCTTAGTCTCTAAGCTTTAATTTGATGTATCATAAGTACCATTTGGTGATACTTTTCTGTCATGATTTTATGACACAACGTAGATGTATGTCAAACCCTATTGATCCAAATTAGATATTGATATAATTCATGTCCAGTCATACTTTTGTAAAAATATGAACGGTGCACTTACACAGTTATTTTCTTGAATCCCTAAGCTTTAATTTGATGTATCATAAGTTGTATTTCTCAACACTTTTAATTCATGAAATCATAAATTCCCACGCATCAAAATCAGCTCCTAACAAGTTAACAATGTACATCAACAAAACTTGAACACGTTAACATTTCGTGTCTACGGAAGCAACATACATGTTAAACATCCAAATAATCCTTCATATCGTGTTCCCGAGCCATGACCAGGATTTCGTGTCGAGGGTAACCAGGCACAGAGTCAATATCGTGGTGCAAAGAGCTTTCGAAACGACCTGCACAATAGACGCCGTATACAATGAGATTCGTGTTCCCTGGGCCACGGGTGTAGGCTTATTAATATTGCACGGTTCACGTCGAAGCAAACTTTTTATCTCCGTTAACGGCGCTGTTTGTTCGTTTTACCTCGTCCCGTATTAGCGCTCGTAAGTTTCGCGAAAAAACCTCGGTGTTATAACGTAGTTCCCGGCATTATGAACCAACCGGAAACTTCATGGAACTTTCAATACTTTCGTCTCGTCTTTTGGCGGAGTTACCAGGACAAACAACGGGTTGCATTATTCCCTTCGAAAAAGTTTCGATTAACGTTCGCTTCTGATATTTTTCATTTATGACCTGTTTATCGGACCTTCTGATACTTCGTACACCTTCTAGATCTTGGAAAATCAGATCTTGGAGCACTGGACTCTATGGAGAGACTTGGGACTCTTTTGGGGAGATCTTAGGGAAATATTGGGATATTTGGAAAATTTTAGGGAAGCTAAATTGAAGATCGTAGGGAGATTCAGAGATTAGGAAGATCACAAAGATTAGAGAGATCATCAGATTCATAGGAACCAGCGAGTGGCAATACAACGTGAGAGAATTCAACGCATGGCAATATAATCCGAGGAAAATCAACGCGTAAAAAATTAATGGGTGGCAATATAACGCGAGGAAATCTAATTCGTGAAAATTTAGCACGCGGCGATATAACGCGAGGAAATCCAATTCGTAGAAAATCAGCGCGTGGCGATATAATGCGAGGATATCTAACGTGTAGAATTCCAACGCGTGGCATTATAACGCGAGGGACTCCAACTCGTGAAAAATCAGCACATGGCAATATAACGCGAGGAAATCTACCTCTTGGAAATTTACATATACGGAATTAAAAGCCGCTGTAAAATGACCAGCATGAAGGGTTAAATAATGGCGGGTAAAGGGTCGTCCCCGTTCGTTAGCGGAGGATTAACACCCTTTTTTTTTCGAAAGAACAGGCGCACCCTAAGCCGTCACGTCTAACGTCCATTGTTCGGTTTTCAGGCAAAATTTCGCGTGATGGTGGAGGAGAACGCAGCGACTGGCGCCCGGCTTGACGGGGAGCTGGAACGAGCTAGGGGCGAATGTGCGGTGCTACGCGGAGAGCTAAGGGATGTTCGCGGTGCTTTGCCGGTGGTGTTAAACAATAATAACGCGAGTAACATAGCGGCTGCCGGGAACAGCAACAACAACGCCAACGCGGCCAGTCCTGGACAAGAGAACGAGCTTCAGCAACAGCCGGAAGATGGTAAGAGACTCAGCGCAGGAAGCAGCCCGGTCGACAAGAGGAGCTCCGCTAGCGATAAATCGGCTAGTCCTATCGAGAAAAGAACTAGCCCCGTCGACAGGAAGGACAGAACCAGCCCTATCGATCGACGTGCCAGCCCCATAGGTACATGCCTGCTATTTGTTTTCACTTGTGCGTCATGGGGTTTATCGATCTTGTCGCGATGGGGAAATGTGGGATGAATTGGAATATCGGGGAAATTACTATGCCTTGTTTCTTGAAAGGCGTTATTATCGCTGGATTTTTTATACTAACTTGGATATTAAACCTTGCAATATCGTGACGCACTCATGACGCACATTATATTTGAAATGTTTCAGACTCGTATTTTCGCTTCAATTAATTTTAGAGCTCGATTCCAATTATAATTTACATAATCAAGGATCAGTGAAGACAGACAGTGCTTAATATTTTAACTTTCTTTAGTTCTATTAAAGTTATAACAATAAGTAGCTAGTTGTGCATGACACAATTGCTTAGAAAATTATAGGTTAACATTAACAGTACTTCTGTGATATAATGCGCGGAAATCCAACGCGTGGCAATATAAAGCGAGGAAATCCAACGCGTAGAAATATCAGCGCGTGGCAATATAACACGAAGAAATCCAACGCGTAGAAAAATCAGTGCGTGGCAATATAACGCGAGGGAACTCAACGCGTGGAAAGTCAGAGCGTGGCGATATAACGCGAGGAAATCCAACGCGTAGAAAAATCAGCGCGTGGCAATATAACACGAAGAAATCCAACGCGTGGAAAGTCAGCGCGTGGCGATATAACGCGAGGTAATCTAACGCGTAGAAAAATCAGTGCGTGGCAATATAACGCGAGGGAACTCAACGCGTGAAAAATCAGCGCGTGGCGATACAACGCGGGGAAATCTATCGCGTAGAAAATCAACACGTGGCGATATAACGCGAGGTAATCCAACACGTGGAAAATCAGCGCGTGGCAATATAACGCGACGGAACTCAACGCGTGAAAAATCAACGCGTGGCGATATAACGCGTGGAAATCCAACACTTGGAAAATCAGCGCGTGGCAATATAACGCGAGGGAACTCAACGCGTGAAAAATCATTGCGATACAATTTTCAATATTATACGTATCACTCCGTATAATTAACATTCGATTTTGAATCGTGAAAAATGATTTAAATTTCCCGCCATCATTCACGAAAAAGAAACGTCGATTCTTCGAAAACACCATTTCCTGCTAGCAGAACTTCGAAAGCTTCTCGCTATCCATTTTCGTAGCAGCAACAGAAGAAACATGCCTCAGTAGTATAATAAGAAGAAAGAGTTCAGTTCTCGACGTTGTTCACATGTTCGAAGTTCCCCCATAAATCTCAGCTTTTTATCACCTTTTGCAAGGAACGTAATTCTTTTTTTGAAAGTTCCACAATATAATTCAGACCTCGCGTTCCTGCATAGTTCATGCTTAAAACTTTATCCCGATTTCCAGGATACGTTGTACCCTGTATCTTCCAGCTGCTTGCTGGCTCTTTTACGACTTGCCATGATTCACCATTTTACCCTGCAGCTTGTAACACCCCGCAGTCTCTGCGACTGTCTTTCCCCTCGCATTTTTAGGACGAATTAATTTCCCGGAGGAAATGTTACAAACTCAAATGTAGTAGCCTCAAAATTAAATAGCACGAATCAATATTTACAATTTTTAAATCTAACTTGGTGATTTTTTACTATTTGAAGCAAATTAGAATTTCAAAAATGAGGGATTCAAATATTTTGAAAAATATACCTTGGGCTAAAATAGAAATAAAAAATGCCAGAGGCAAAACATTGAATGTGAAATTTATGCCAGTTTGTGCCACAACTAATAAAAGATTGTTTCGTTGCAGAAAAGCGGAATGGTTCCCCGAGTCGCAGTCCAAGCGAGAAAGCCCGTCGACCTTACGCTCCAGCGTTGGAGAAGACACGGCTGGGTGGTTCCGGCGGAAGCGTGGATTCTCGATCCGGGAGCGCGAGTCCGGATCGAGGATCCAGCAACCGAGGCTTCTTCCACCGCGGCGGCACCGATCGATCCAGCGTCGAGCGATTACGGATATCGACGAACCGCGATTCCCTTCGATCCAGCAAAGAAATGAACGATCACGAGAAGGACAGCGACAAGGATCTCGTGGACGGCGAGGTACGACCCGAAGAGGACAATGAACCACCTGGACCAGCCCCGGGCAGCAGACCCTCCTCGCCGGCTAATTCTCTGGGTGGGTAACCCAGCATTTAATTATGGAAACCCTTCCCTTTCAACTTTCCTACGGTACATTCACTGTTCCTGATTGTTCCACCAACGACGTTCCTGCGATTCCTTGGAATTAAACGAAGTCGGGATAAATGCAGCTGAGTTTTCTTCGTAACGAGAAATCTTTTCCAGAGGATATGGAGGTGTGATGTGTTGAGAATGATGGAGGTTTTTGTTTGAAAATTGTTCTACACATTGTGGTACTACTGGGTCATGAGTTAAATATTGTACTTCTATGTTATAATGTCACTTCTCTGTAAAAGTTGTAAACTGATCTTGACTTTGGAGTTCAACATGATCTTATGTTTTTAGTAGGTGATATTAACTCTGTCTCTATAAAAATTATTGTAAAAGTGATCTTAACTTTGAATCTCAACTTGTAGATCTTATATTTCTAATTATTCAAAGGTAACTGCAAGATTATTGTACAACTCTGACTCTGTAAAGGTTATTCTAAAAGTAATCTTGACTTTAGATATCATTATATAGATCTTATGTTTCTAGTTAGTCATAGATAATTATAATACCATTGTACATCTCTGGATCTGTCAAAGTTACTGCAAACTTGATTTTGACTTTGGGTTTCCACAAATGAATCTTATGTTTCTAATAAGTCATAGGTAGCTGCAATATTATTGTACATCTTTGACTATATAAAAGTTACTATAAACTTGATCTTGACTTCTAGTGTCCACAAGTAGATCTTATATTTCTAGTTAGTCATAGGTAGTTATAATATTATTGTACATCTCTGGATCTGTTAGAGTTACTGTAAACTTGATTTTGACTTTGGGTTTCCACAAGTGGATCTTATGTTTCTAATTAGTCATAGGTAGCTGCAATATTATTGTACATCTTTGACTCTGTAAAAGTTACTATAAACTTGATCTTGACTTTGAGTGTCCACAAGTAGATCTTATGTTTCTAGTTAGTCATAGATAGTTATAATATCATTGTACATCTCTGGATCTGTTAAAGTTACTGCAAACTTGATTTTGACTTTGGGTTTCCACAAATGAATCTTATGTTTCTAATAAGTCATAGGTAGCTACAATATTATTGTACATCTCTGACCCTATAAAAGTAACTGCAAACTTGATCTTGTCTTCAAGTCTCCACACATAGACCTCATGTTTCTGAAACTGACAAAATTCACACCTCACCAAACTTGAAAGTTATTTACCTTTACCTTGAAGTATCTCAGCAACGTTCTATTTCCTACAGGAATCGGTGATCCGCTGGTAGCATCGAGGTTATCAAACATTCATGGCGGAGGCGGTAGCACAGGATCCGTGGAGTTGGCCAGCACAAGAAGGCTACGACTCGAGAACGAACGTCTAGTAGCCGAAGTAGCGAGATTGAGAAGATTGTTATTCACCGGAGCGGGACGAGGAGAGGTTGGCTCGGAGGATGCCGCCCTCGAAGAGGAGGCACGATTTGTTGCTCTCGAAATGGAACTGCAACACGCCAAAGAAGCTCTCCAAGCACTAAAGGCCGATCGTAAGAGGCTGAAGGCTGAAAAGTTCGATCTTCTTAATCAGATGAAGGCACTTTACGGCACCCTCGAGGACAAAGAACGGGAACTGCGAGACTTTATCAGAAACTACGAACAGGTAGATCTACAAATTAGAGCTTCACGATTTCTTAGCTCTGCTAATTCGAATTGTGGATATGAAGACTGTAGATCTATATTTGATAAACAAATGTAACCCTGTTAATTGCAACAAATGTAATCTCTATTACAAATTTGTAATAATCTCTGTTCATTATTAATTGTATTACTTATTGTAACCTTTGCGTAGTAACCTGTGTATAAATCTTTTGTAAACATTTTGGAAAAATTGTATGAACAGTCTTCATCTCCACTCTTCTGCTTTGTGAAATAAATGAAATTTTAACACACTTTCGTTAACGTCAAATTTCAAAAGTTAAATTTTGTATAAAAGTTTAAAGTATAAAAATATTTGAAGTGTGAAGAAAAATTGGAACAATCATAAAGTGAAGCGAAACTGTGTTAAATGGCGGTTCTGAAAGTTGTATTGTACGTCGTAACAAGAATCAATGGAAGCGTTTAATTGTTCTTTTCACCGGCATATCGAGTGTTAAGAGTAGCCGTTCGCACAATCTAAAGTTAATTTAATTGTTGTTAATCCGCGGAATCAGAGGTCGCTTTGGAATATTTCAATTTACCCCTTCAATTAAAGCCCTTATTTAATTCTCGCGCTCCGTTACACTTTGAACGACACCGCGAGTGTAATTACGGAAAAATGTTTCGTTCGGTTAGTTCCGTAGACTCGAACACGTCGAAGGGAAAACATCGCGGAATGAAGGAGGCGAAAAAAAAGAAATTTATTTAACGAATATCCCGTTGAAACGCATTTCAATTTTCTCGTGGCGAGCGTCAACGTTGGTTCTCGAGCTAGAACACGGGTCCGGTACACAGGACAGCAATTTTGCCTGTTAAATACTTTCATTAAACTTGCTGGAATTTCTCATTTTCCGGACACCGTTATCGTTTCACCACTGGTGCGACGACCCGACGCATTGTCGGCCATTTCAATTCCGTCAAATGAACAACGCGGGCCAATTTTTTCTTTCCCACGAGCCCTGGGTAATGTACAAAACCCACGTATTTTGTTACATATTTTTAATTGGTATTTTCATATCACGAATTTGAGACTCTTGATAATTGGACGAAATTTGAACTCTTTGAATGAAGAATATAATAGGGAGATGCTGGGAATTTTTAGGTTTGAGGAATTGTGCTTTTTGTTAGAGTAGGTGAAGATTTGGAAAAATTGACATTCTAAAAATTAAATTTTAGCTTGAAAAATTGTAATAATGAATTATCAAATAAACCCATATAAATATGACTAGAATAACGAAGCGTGGAAAACATCTGAATTTATGACCAATACTAAATACCGTAAATAATGAAGGTTAATTTATCAGAATATATCGGTAAAGTTAGACACCCCTTAATTTCCTCTGCGACAAAAGTACGTGTACGTTCAGTGACATTTATCAGGTCCATAGACGAGTTTTACTAGCTATCGCAGTTTGTTTTGGAAATACCGTCCTGTTCTTCCGGCTTAAAAGATATTTACGATCGTTAATATAGAACGTGCTGTTAGTGGATATTAAAGTTTGCCTTTCTCTTTGCTCCGGATCCTGCATGATGCATCGTCGAGTCCTTATGAAAATATCCTTCCTCTCTGCGAAGCAAATGCAGCATTTTTCGCTCGGATCTATTGACGCGCTTCGTCTTCGGGCTTCTGCAAGAAACATTAAAGAGCTACGTTGCCAGAACGAGCCGTTATTAATCTTCTTTCTTACTTTTTTATATTTGAAAGCTGTGTCGCGGGGCTAAAAGGAAGACAAACCGAGTGACTACCCTCGCAATTTCCATGGTAAATACCTTAAGTGGCTTTCCTCTAATCTTTTGTTTCTTCCTCATTGTTATCATGTTTTTTCCTGCGACGGTGAATAAACTTCGATTTAAAATACTGCTCTCGCGTTTATGCCACATAAATTCTGCCGCCATTCTTCAAAACTTTACTCTCGTGAAAAGGGGAATTTGCTCGGATTCAATTGTACATTCCTTCGAGAAAATATTCCGGAGGTAATTAACCTCTTTTCTTATAATTTATTTGCGGAGTGTGTCAGTCGGAAATTCATCAAAGCTATAATATTAAGTCTGTTAGGAGAATTGAGAAAAACAAGGTAGTATTTAACCTCCTTTCTTGTGATTTATTTGTCAGTTAGAACTGATCACAGTTACAGTATTAAAACAGAGAAAGAAAGTTAAAATGTTACGTTTCATATTCAGTGATTGACCACGCAAATTATAATTGCACAAACTCCAAATCGAAGCGAGTTCAAAATTCGAGTAAGATTCCTCTCGGTTGACGCACTCGTGCGTCACGTGTGGGATATCCTAAGGCAAGAGGCGAACGACGAACAAGCTCGATATCGAACGAAATACAAGTTAAAGCGAGGTATCTACCGATGTCGACTATCCTAAGGCAAGAGGCGAAGTGGGATATCCTAAGGCAAGAGGCGAACGACGAACAAGCTCGATATCGAACGAAATACAAGTTAAAGCGAGGTAACTACCGATGTCGACCCACGAGTTGGCGCTAGAAGAGGCTGACCCAGGTGTTTGGAAGAGCCACGGCTCCAACTGGTCAGAATAGAAAAATGGACGCCTGGACTCGCGCGTATTTTCGCCGGTAGAACAATTGGCTCTCGCGCGAGCGCACACCGATTAGGCCAAAAACAATGAGAGTCGGCAAACGTCTCGAGAGCGAGAGTGCTACTTGCGTTCGGCAGTTATCGTCGTTATTATTATTTGCCTGTATGTAACGCTGGAAGTGTTCGCGGTGATAGGCTTCTTTTACTTTGGGTCACGCGCCAACTCGTGGGTTGACTGTCCACGTTTTCCTATATTTTATTAACACTGAACTACCAGAGCAATTAACCGTTTTACAAGTTTTATTTTCGAGTAAGATTTAAATTCGAGGAGGGTGCGTCGCGGTTGAAGTATAAGTGCGTCACGGTTGAAGTAAAGGTGCGTTAAGATTGAACTAAAGGTGCGTCGTGACTGAACTGAAGGTGCATCACGACTGAACTAAAGACGCATTATGATTGAACTGAAGGTGTGTCACGACTGACCTATAGATGCGTCATGACTGAACTGAAGATACGTCGTGACTGAACTAAAGGTGCGTCATGACTGAACTGAAGATGCGTCATGATTGAATTAAAGGTGTGTCATGACTGAACTGAGGGTGCGTCACCATTGAACTAAAGGTGTGTCATGACTGAACTGAAGATGCGTCACAATTGAATCAAAGGTGCGTCAGGATTGAAGTAAAGGTGCCTCCTGCCTGAAACTTAGGTGCGTCACCATTGAAGTAAAGGTGCGTCACAGTTGAAGTGGAAGTGCGTCATAGTTACAGTAAAAGTGCGTCACTTAAATCTTCATACAACTAAGTTATTAGAGATTTGTCTGCTTACTTCGAATAAGACTTGACGTACTTGAACCACGAGTGCGTCACGAGTGCGTCAGTCTAACTCCTCAGGCTACATCAAAACTTCTTAACTAAAAAGTTTCACGAACTCTTTTGACGTTACTAAAATTATTACTACACGTCTCATGCTTAACACCATAAATTTAGTAAAAAAATATTTATCTCAAACTGTGTTAAACCCAATAGTCACCTTCTTTGTACGAAGAGTTAATATCTGTTCAAATGAACTTAATGAACCTCCGTGAACATAAAAGTCTAACAAAAACGATCGACAAATTAAGAATTTGATCTCGCAATTTGTTGATTAACTCCGAAATACACGTCAGAGAGATAATTACTAATGAGAAAGTCCCCGGTGTCTCCTCGTAACGAAACATGAAAGAAAATACGCGTTGTCTCTAGTCTTACGGAAGGTTCTCCAAGCTTGAAGAGGTTCTTCAATTTTCTCCTTGCTTTATCCTCTTTCGCGTCTTGTCGCATCGTGCGTAATCCACTTCATCATCAACGAGCCTCGACGTGTCACCGTTCTACAAGAAGTACGCTCGTCTTTGTGTTTTTTTCTCCCTCTGTTCGTCAGACCGAGTTAACATCTGCTCCGCTCTATCTTCTACTAACGGAAGTACACAACCGGTTACTCGGTTCTGTAAACTTTAACGATGAAATATCTCGCACGAACCTTCCAGCGAAATATTCGTCAATTCGATAAATTGATTCATCCAGAAAATTGTGTAACTTCAAAGACACACGGATGAGGTATCAGCCATCACCGAAGGGGGGTACACAAAATAAACGGTTAATTATAGAAAACTTGTGAACGTAGAATAATTAGCCGAAGTTTTAGCGAGAAACGAAATTTCTCTCGCGTTGACGCGCGCACGCAGAGGATTTTCCAGGTGACCGCCGTGAAAAACGCCGTGCGAACGGGGATGCATCGATAGTTTTTAACTGGAAAATATTGACCGGCCGACGGGTAACACCTGACCGATCCTTTGGAGTGGCAGTAATCGCGTTGTCCCAAAGTTTAGCCGATAAACCGGCTGCAACACCTGTTATACGTAGCGTGAACTTCCTTGCGCCCGAGGGAGAGATAAGTGGATTAAGTTCTCCGTTGCTGATATCCTGTTGGTTAATAGGTTAAGGTACATGACACCTGTAAATAACCGAACAGTTGCACCGGTATCGAGTTACTTGCCGCGGTCAGGCAATGGACAGGGACTTTTTAAACTGGATGGTTTCGATTTGGAGATTTGGGGAATTTGGGTAATTTGGATAATTTAGGGAATTTGGGAAATTTGGAGGATTTTGGAATTTAGGAAATTTGGGGAATTTGGGAAGTTGAGGAATTTGGGGAATTTTTGAATGTAGGGAATTTGGGAAATTTGGAAAATTTGGAGAATTTGGGAAACTTGGGAGTTTGGGGGTTTGGGGAATTTGGGAAATTTGGAAAATTTCGAGAATTTGGAAAACTTGGGAATCTAGGGAATTTGAGAAATTTGGGAATTTGGGGAATTGGGAATTTGGGGAATTGGGAATTTGGGGAATTGGGAATTTGGGGAATTGGGAATTTGGGGAATTGGGAATTTGGGGAATTGGGAATTTGGGGAATTGGGAATTTGGGGAATTGGGAATTTGGGGAATTGGGAATTTGGGGAATTGGGAATTTGGGGAATTGGGAAATTGAGGAATTGGGAATTTGGGGAATTGGGAATTTGGGAATTTGGGGAATTGGAAATTTGGGGAATTGGGAATTTGTGGAATTGGGGATTTGTGGAATTGGCGATTTGTAAATTTAGGAAATTATGGAATTGGGAATTTGTGGAATTGG